GAGATGGCTAAGAGTCTTTCCCTCCCCAGCCTTCCTCCTGTGTCATAACGAATCCAATCCGCTCATTTCCATTCTCATTGCCCCTAACTTCCTACCAGGTAAACAAACTTCATGTTGCTGATACTGGTGTGGTGGCAATCGGACTTGTGAGCTTTGTTATTTTAATTACTTTCTTCTGCCTTAAAATTTCTTCCCTCCTCGTGGGCTCTCCATGGGGCTCCAGCCAAACGTCGAAGTGGTGATGGTGCTTGTTTCTCGCTCTAATGATAGCAGACTCCATCCTCGTGGACAGATGCTGCCATCTGAACCTAGGAGCACCTGTCACAGAAGCAGATGATGGCCTGTCACCTTTCCTCTGTCGCAGGCTTGCTCTTGATAGCCTAACGAGAATAACAAAGAGCTTTTAGTCGCTTATGATTTGGAGGGGCTCCAAAGAATCTCTGCATAGGACAGGTAGCCAAGGTCTTGGTGTTTCTGCATTTTTGCTGACCCAGAGGCTTCCTCCTCATCAGGAAGGCTGGGCCCTGAAGAAAGGCCCCAGGCTCTTCTCTACCCCTGCCGCCCTCTGGGGTCCTCCCGTGGGAAGTGGTACGTTTCACCCCTCGGTTGTGGAAATGGGAGCTTGCCAAACATCAAACAACAGAAGAGTGGCTACATTATCCACTGGGTGATGACGTGGCGATTGAAGTGAAAGTTTTTCCACAACTATATAACAGTGCATGGAACTGCTCAGAATCATATCAACGAGACCAGAAATCGGCAGGATAGGAAACAGTGTGGTCCTAACATTGTTCAGAACGTTTACATGTAAATGGAAGGGACTGGGATTAACTATGACCTACCATCAGCAGGAGTTTTGTGTGAATGGTAGCATTCTAAGGCCATTTTCTTTTATTTATTTATTTTTGTCAGTCGTGGGACTGAACTCTGGGCTTGGGTGCTGTCCTTGCACTCTTCAGCTCAAGGCAAGTGCTCTACCACTTGAGCCACAGTGCCACTTCTGGTTTTCTAGTAGTTTATTGGAGATACAAGTCTCATGGACTTTCCTGCTCGGGCTGGCTTTGAACTGTGATCCTCAGATCTCAGCCCCTTGAATAGCTAGGATTGCAGCCATGAGCCACCAGTGTATCACCCTCTTCTCATTAATAGGGCTTATGTTTGAACAAGTGTATTATTAGTGTAATTTAAGCTGGCCATTATAGCTTATGTGGTGTTGTGTTATTTCCTGAAAGTGGCTCCTTTTATTTACCCAAATATTTGTGGGGGTTTGGGTGGTCCTGGGGTTTCAACTCAAGGTCTTGTGTTTGTAAGGTGCGTTCTGCCACTTGAACCATGGCTCCAGCCCTTTATGCTTTCTTTAGGTTTTGAATAAGATCTCTCTGTTTGCCAAGACTGGTCTGAACTGTGGTCCTCCTATTTTTACACTTCCCACATAATTGGGTTGAAGGTGTGCACCAGCTTTTTATTGGTTGAGATAGGTCTTGTAATTGTGTGTGGGGAGGGGGTTGTTTGTTGGTTTGTTTTTGTTTGGCGAGGTTTCCCAGTGCAGGTTTGTTCAGGGGACACAGAGGAAACATACACAATCATGGGCAGTGGATGCTAAGCAGATAATGGCTGCTACGAAGACTTACACCATAGCTAAACAGTTTGAAGTTGGCATGCATGCCTGTAATCTCAACGCCCAGGTGTCTGAGGCAGGAGAGTCTCAAGTTTAAGGCCATCCTGGAATACACAGCAAGACCACTCCCAGAAAACAAGCAACCACAAAAGGAAGTAATATTTTAAATTAATTTTAAAAAGATAACCCAGTTAACTGGGCCTGTGGGTGTTTATTTTCGTATCTGAAAGCTCTTTTCCATTTCTTTCTGTTTCTTGGAGTTTACTAAAAGAGATATCCAGGAAGCATAAATTCCTTGTTCTGAGGTCATCATAATTGTCTTATATATTTCATGTTGCATACCCTTTTATAGAGTCCTTACTTCCAATTTTGACCACTTCTAATCCTGTCTGATTCACCTGCCTTCTCTCACTTTGTAGAGTGAGGGCAGAAAGACACTTTTCTTTCGGTGTCAAGATAAACTGATAAACTGAGTCACTAAGTCCAGACTATGAGGTTAATTACAATTCCTTTGTTCAAAGCTCCAACTTCTAAAGTATTTTCTTTCTTTTGCCAAAAACATTCACTCTTTAAACCTTTATTGAAAGTAATGAGCTTAAAATAAGGTCTGGTGAAGATAATCATATTGCTACAGCTTAAAACAGAACTTTAAAGCTACTTGAGTAGCATAAGCTAAGTCCTAAAGCAGGCTTTATATTTGCTCTATTCAATTAATTTGTACAGCAATGGACTTTAATTTTTTTGGAAAAAGAATTGTTGAAACAGAATCTCTTCAACAATACTTGGGGGACATGTTTGATTCATTTAAAACTTAGATAACATAGAATTAAGGATAACATCAGAATTTACAAAAAATCTATATTTCATGCTATGGGATGATTTTGACTTCATTATCAAATTGTCCTCCTACAATGTATTGATAAAAATGGGATTGGGAGAGATAAGAATGAAGATAAGAAGAATGGTGAAAGGATTATATTGATAATAATCCATTGGTGAAATTAATGCTGTTTTGATGCTCTTAATTATGTTTAGTACTAAAATAATATTCCACAAAGACTAAATGATGCCCATTAAATACTTTACACAAGAATTTTTGAAGCAATAGTAGAAATTAATATGAAAATAAAAAAATTTACATTGAGGCAGTCCAATGGTTGAAATCCCTTCATACTTGTGATAAAACACACACATATATTTTAGGTTATTTATAAAATGAAATGTATCATTTTTATTTAATGTAAGTATTATGTTGATTTTAATAGAGACATTGCATCAACTGGAGATTTTATTTTCTTTCCTCCTTTCTTTCTTATTCTTAAGTAGTTGGACAAAAACATTTCAATTAGCATGTCACCTGCACATGTTTCAATTCAATATGTTAGCTGGAGTTTTTAAATTTTGAGAATGCCAGAATGTAATAAAAATGTAATAAAAATTATTACATTTTATGTACAGTAACATTATTATTTACCACAGTGAAAGTGACTTCATCTTAAGATTTCTTACCTCAAATAATATAATTTTTATCTCTTATCTCAAGCAATTTTATATGTAATATATTATTGCTATAAAAAAGCAACTTAATTGCCTTTGGGGATTTTCTAGGAAATTTTTTTAAAGATAATTTTATCACCATGCTACGTGAGAATTCAGGAGAGACCCAAGCAGAAACCCTAGTCTGCAAAATTTGTAACTAATAGCTAAACGTCATGGAAACAGAAGTGATGTTCAGTGGCACTGGTCTTTGTGTCCTTACTGTTACTGTGTCTTAAGGAAAATGAAGTTCACTGGAGGTGACTCAGTCTCCAGGTCAAAATTGTCTGTCAGTCAGTGTAAGACTATAACGCTGACTGATAGACAACAGTGTTTTCACCCTGTTTGACCTCTAACCATTGAACATTGAACAGAAGAGTACTTTAGACATGAATATAGATACAAGAAAATAGATGCATCTTTGAAATGTGAGGAGACTGATCAGATCCACTAATTATGAACCAAGGTTAAAAGGGGGGAAATCTGTGTAGTTAGTAAGTGATGGATGTGAGGAGTCAGGGAATAACCAGGGCCTTGACCACAGTGAGATGAAATTAATACTAGAAGGCTTTCTCAGGGCTGTGTTTGGGGGGTAGGGAGAGGTTGGCAGGGATCTGTATCCTGGGATTTAGCCAAGGTAGGGCTGACAAGTGGATCTGATTCTCAAGTACTTGTAGTAATGATCAAGAAGAGAAAATGTGTGTGTGCACATACATGCATGTACACACACATGCACATGAGTACACACATGTTTGTGTTTTCTTACTGTGGATAAACTATTAGCTGTTAGAGGTAACATGGTGAAAATTCATTTGGGGACCAGTTTTGATTCATTTAAAACTTTAGGATAATATAGACAGGACTAAGAATCAAATCAGGATCGACCAAATCTATTTTGTGCTATGGGATGATAAATGACTTCATCATCAAAAAGTTTTTTCTGAAAATAATACTGTTGTGTTGCTTTTAGCAATTACTTTTACCACTAAAATATTGTTCTAAATAAGGACAATCATTTAAGGTAAAGTGGACCATAGTTTCTTAAATGCGGATTCTGTATTTATTTATTTATTTGCCAATATCAAGGCTTGAACTCAGGGTCTCACAATTGTTTAGCTGACTTGCTCAGTTGGTGCTTACCACTTGAGCTATGCTTCCAGCTAGCCTTTCGCGGGTTATCTTTGGAGATAGTGCTTCTTGGATGTCTATGTTGAAGCTGTTTTCAAATGTTGATCTTGCAAGTCTAAGCCTCGAGTAGCGAGGATTACAGAGGATTACAGGCCCAAGCGACTGACACCCAACTCCTTTGACTAATAGGAGACATCTTTGGTTCCATATTGTAATCCTACCCCTACCATTTTGTCATTAACTGACTGTAAAAGATATTGCTGTCTTTGTTCCTTTGTTTTCATACCCATAAAATAGAAATAACATTGAGACCCATCTGGTGGATTATAGTGGAGGATACATAGGTGTGTTAAGGCATGTAAAGATTTTAGGACACTCCAGTTCTCAATATGAGAGAGCTTTAATATTAGGGGTGGTGGTCATCCCCCAGCTGTCATCTGAGTTGTGGGTTTTGTTTGACATGGTTCTGGTTTTGACCACAGTTCTCACTGGCTGTATTCTTATTTAGCAACAGAGTAACATGGGGAACTCAGATAAAACTAAGATCAAGGGAATAATGTGAACGACCTGTGTCTTCTCTCTACTAGTACCTCCAGCCTCTCCTATTCATATTCATCCGCCTAGCCCCAGACAGTCTAGAACTGTGACTTGAAAGCTGAATTTTAAGAAATCTGTTCTATCCTCTCATCTATCTATCTTATCCTTTGTGTTCTCAGGAATGAGGGGAGAATCATTCTTCATCGGAATGAGGAGCCCAGGGCAGCAGGGGTACACCCCTGAAGATGGAGGCCTTCTCTTACTCTGCTGCATAGACAGAGACTGGGCTGTCACGCGGTGCTTTGCAGAAGAGGCCTTCCAAGCAATCACTGACTTCAACGATCTGCCCAATGCGCTATTCGCGTGCAACGTCCACCAATCTGTGTTTGAAGGAGAAGAAAGCAAGGTAAGAAGACGGGTCTGCTCCCAAAATATGGGGAGAAATGACAACCTAGGGAGAGAAGAGGCGTGATCTCGGCGTGCTGGCCTTGTTCATTTGAGATGGCTGAAGTGTTTGGGAATGTTCTTTTGGCACTGTGTGGTGCACAGGTTAGCAAAATAAGAAAAATCTGTTCCATTATAAGCAAGCTTTGGTGTTCTGCCTCAAAGGTTGCAGCCAGTCTAGTGCTCTTTGGCTTGTAGGTCCACAAATGGTGTCAGAAATGTAGTTCCTAAGGAATGCGCCTTGGGCCAAGGAGCCCACGGTTAAAACTTGTAGAAGTTCCCTTTCCCCCATTTTGCCAAAAACACAACTTGGCTTGCTCTAAATCACACAAGCATTCGAGCCCTTCCCCCTCGTTCAGTTTGATGATTGTTCTAAAAAAATGGTTCCTGGAGTTGTGACCCAGTCCCCTGCGGTTTCTGGAGAAAGCACGTAGGCTTGAGATAACCTGAACTGCTCACAGACACTGTGGCAGGTGGCATCTGTGAGTGGTGGGAATTCACACCGTGGTGGCTCCTTGGTTTGACTTGAGTGGGGAATGAGGTTGTCTATGCGCAAGCATTTTAGACATTTTCATTTTAAGAAACACACTTGACTCAGTAGTAAATGTGCTTGGCAACTACCATAAAAATTCTATGTTTTTCATCTTTTAAAAAGTGATTTAGAGATTTCTGACCTTCTAAGTTTGATATGTGAATGATCCAACCTTTGTTTGTGCATGTGGATTCCTCATAAATATCTAATATTATGTCATTTAAAACATAAAAGGTATTTTATGTCATTTAAAATATGGAAGGTTTTTTTTTTGTTTTGTTTTGTTTTGGTCAGTCGTGGGGCTTGAACTCTGGGCCTGGGCACTGTCCCTACGCTCTTCAGCTCAAGGTGAGCGCTCTGCCGCTTGAACCACAGTACCACGTCTAGTTTTCTAGTGGTTTATTGGAGATAAGACTCTCACGGACTTCCCTGCCCAGGCTGGCTTTGAACCACCATCCTCAGATCTCAGCCTCCTGAGTAGCTAGGATTACAGGCCTGAGCCATCTGCGGGTTGAGAAAGGTATTTTTTAGGGGAAGAGGAACTTTTGTTTTGTTAAACTAAAGTAGGTGGCTCGGTCTAAGATGTAAACATAGGGTTTAGGATTGTTGTTTTTATAAACTTTAGCTGATGGCTAGTTGGCTTACATTGAGTACCCTTTGGTGACTAATCACAATTTAGCTAGATCTTACTGATTTTGTAAACACACCTCATTGCCACAGAACATAACAACCCAGAAGATTTGATATCATTTTGAGCCATTTAAACATGTTTTATGACAATATTATTTTTGGAGTTGAACAATTCAAATATTGGGCTAAAAGTAATCTGAAATGCAATAAATTGTCTTGGAATAGAAACTTTAGGGCTGTGACTACCAGAGTATTTAAAATGAGAAAATCACACATGGCAGGAAGGAAGGACATGAGAATTTAGTTCTAGGATCATAAACAGATTATCATTTCCAGAGGAAATGCTGTAATATACTTGCCATCAACTGTAAAACCAGGGCCCAAGTTTTCTCCTCATCCCCTTCCTTATTTCTCACAATTAGAGGATTTCTCCTGGCAATTGACTGAGATTATTTTTTGCGTTCTATTTTTTTAAATTAATACCGTGAGTAATAAGTTCTTCTACCTTCTGAATCAACAAGACTTAGGAATTTGCTCTGCGTGCTTCTCAAGATTGGTGGACCAATTAAACCAGAATTGAGGACATAGAAGAGGAGGTTTTTGATCTTCTAATCAGTGACTGGATCATGGATTGTCAGATATTTTCAGCTAGGTTGTATACAAAGTTGAGAAATTGCAGCTTTGAGAGGTCGTATTTGGTCTTATGAACTAGCTGACAGATTGAGGCATGGTAAACAGGATGTAATCCAATAGAACCAGTCTCAAAGAATTTAGATAACTACTTTTATTGCCAGGAAGCTAACCTTAGTTACTCGCCAAGAACCATGTATTAAAATGGATGGAATGGGATGGAAAGTCTTTTTTCCCTGGATCCAGTCTTCTAGCTTCCCCTTACAGAGAGTTTGTAGGATATTAAATAACCTGATAATGATTCATCTTTGGCTAAATGATAGCTAAAGTGTTAAAGATCAGAAGGTAACAGGATACCAGATGGGTTGGTAGAGCAAGGGTGCTATGATCTTTGGGACTCTAAGGAAAACGTCTTTGTGGATCTTGGTAACACTTCATTTGCACAGCTACATACTTTTCTTTATGATTGATGGCACCTCAGTCTTCCCTGTGCTTGAGGAATCATTTGGATAGGATCTCTCTCCCAAAGGTCCGTGTGTGAAACACTTGCTCTTCAGAGTAGTGCTATTGAGACCTTGTGGAACGGTGAAAACGTGGGGCCCTTTTGATGGGTTTTTGGATCATTGAAGCCATGTTCGTGAAGAGGGTGATAGGGTGCTAGGTTCTTTTTCTTCCCTTTGTACGTCTGCCATGTTGTGCTGCCGATCGAACCAACAGGGATGAACTTGCAAAACTCTAAGCCCGATAACCCTTTTCTCTTTATCAGTTGGTTATCACAGGCATTTGATATACAGTAACAAGCTAACTAATACAGGCTTCTTCAGTTTTTTCCCCCTATCTTAATAAATATACTGGTAGGTCATTCTCTGAGAATATGCTATTCCCAGGATAGAGATTTCATGAATCTGAGTGACATGAACCAAAGATGTTTATCTTTGCATAAGTGGGACATTTGAGGCACTATGTTAAGTTGAGGAGGAATTTTGTTTTAGCAAGGGAGAAAGAAGCAAAAACCATCTCCTAAATTCGTTGTATTTTCCTGTGGGTGAATAGTAACAGTGATCATTGCTTTTATGTTTGGCCTTGGGATGATATATTCCTCAGCCTAGAATGTTATGGTGTAGGGGAGTGAGGCTTAGCCCTTGTCTCTGGGGTTCATGGGGGGTGGGGAGGGAGAGTAGGTGATGGCGTGTGTGCATAGTTTGGGCAGAGGTCTTTCTGTTATGGCATAACTTCTTTTTGAATCCTTGTATCTGGAGAATGGTGGATTCGAGTTCGGCCTGTCTTTGTAATTATTTTAATCTTCTTAGTTGGGTAAGAACAGAAGCGCTTGCTGTCTCTCATACCTAAATCTCACAGCAATCTCTTCCCCATTTTTCCCACATGCACAAGCCTCACTTTTCCTTTCCCCTTCTGGGGTTTCAGAGATTTGGGGCACTACTAGGTAACACCATAGAATGTGGTCTCCTGATTATGTCCCTTGTGGTTGAGCAATGTGATAAATACTCTGTATACTTGCTTATGCTACCCTTGGAGGGTCTCAGTTCTGAAGTCTCAGGTGCATTTTCTGGATAGCTTTGTGAGGACCATGGATTCACCCCCATTTTCAGCTAGGCCACATTCAGGGGTCAGATATGTTGATTTGCTGCTCTTGTGAGGAGTGTGCACATACTTCATGGGACTCACGGTGGTCTAGACAGCTGGGATTTGCTCACAGAACACAAAGGAGTATTAGGGCGGGGTGACGTTGGCGTCTCAAACCAAGAAAGGCAGATTGCTGTTTGTGAGCTACTGCTTGAAGTATAAATATTTAGAACTGGGATCTTCATAGCAGCCATCACTTAAAAGTCACTAAGGTTCATTTCTCTTCCATGTTTCCCCTCCTGTACATGCCCAGGAGTTGCCTTTCTTGACCCCATGGGACTACAGAAAGTCTTGAGTCAGGTAAAGCTGAAAGAGGGCTCCTGTGAGCTGCCCTGCATCTGTGAGGAACATGGATAGAGAAGGGTCTGCTTAACAGGATGTTGGTAACCCTCTGGTCTCTAAAGAGAACAGAGAAATGACCACTATGAAATGTTTGCCCAACTGCAGGTGTGCAGGTGTGTCTGGAGACAACTGAAAAATGATTTCATCCTGGCCTTCAAAACCTAGAAATCCATTTAGTTTAATAACGATAGCAATGCCAGCACCAGAAGTGTCCAACATCAGCCTAGAGTATAGAGTGGGGTGCCGGGTGCTTCTCCGAGGGCTGTGGAAATGCAGAGCCCGCCATTGCCATGACAAGGTGAGGACAGTGCTGCGGTCTCTCTGCCTCTTTGCTTTCTGATGCCTGGAAGGAGCAGATAGCCCGGACCTCACAGACTACTTCTGTCCAATTCCAGACCTCACGGGCTACTTCTGTCCAATCCCGGGCCTCACGGGCTACTTCTGTCCAATCCCGGGCCTCACGGGCTACTTCTGTCCAATCCCGGGCCTCA